GGAGCAAGAAAAGGAGTGGATCTTGGCGGATACATGGGAGCTGACAGAGTAGGGGAGGATGATGATGGAGAAGTAGAAGACGAAGCAGTGCAGTGTACTGCAGTTCAGTGCAGTGGAAGGATGAACAACGAAAAGAGGAACTGAACACAACGTTTATAAAACACTACACTGTTCAAAGAATTGAAGAATAGTGCATGCAAAGGCGAAAGACACTCCTCCGACACGCTGGCAAGTGAAGCGGAACAGGCTGTATGTATGAGAGATTTGATGACACTATATCAAATAATCAGTTTACAATCTGGGCAGGGATCGGCATAGATGTATTCAATGAGAAATAGTGAAGGAAACCTAGTTACCCGGAAGGAGAAACAAAGGAGACGATGTGCTGACGACTTTAAATAACTCTTGAATCGACCCCCATCACCACCTGGAACTCGTCCAGTAATGCCAACTACAGGTGTTGGTGGCACATATGAGGATGTCAAAACCAAGATCAGAATAGCAAGATAGGCTTTCACTATGCTGAAACCAGTGTAGAGATCTTCTGCAATCAGGATGTGGAACAAGATCCGGATTTTCAACACCAACGTCAGTCAATTTAGTGCTGCTATATGGTTCAGAAATTTGACGCGTCATGAATAACATTTACAACAAACTAAAGACATTCATCAACAACTGCCTACGATGGCTGGTTACTGAAGATTAGATGGCAAGAAAGAAAAAGCAACAAGGAACTCTGGCTGTCGATGAACCAACCAAAAACCTATTGTCCAACAAATGTGCAGGGGAAAATGGATATGAAAACATCACGTGCCAGGCCCTGGAGTGGAATCCAAATGGGAAACGACGAGTTGGACGTTCGAGGTGAGGGTAACATAGAGGAGATCATGTGAGGAAGAAATGAAAGCTTATGGACAGTTGTGGCGCCGGGTTTAAAAGACTGCAGAGAACACTATGCAGTTGAGATGTGCTACTGAAGCCCTATGTTTCACTAAGAACCTAAGGGACAAATAATAATTGTAATAAATTCTCCTTTAGTGGCATGCCAACCAGAGTACAAGTGATTTTCTATTTCTTCTTTGAAATTCATAATGTCATGAAAATTCACTGAAGCAAATTGTTTGTAGACTTCTGTTTTAGAACGTCCATTGTAATTATGAGAAATTTTAATAAAGAACCATTTAGCATTTATAATTACATCTAACGAACTACTGAGTTACACTTCGGTCCTTAACTAGTAGGTGTGGTGACCCTTCTTCAGTGCATTTCTAACAAAAGATTTCATTCAGTAAATGTAATAACTGCATTAAACTGTTAGTAGCTAATAAATATTGAAAAAGATGAATTTATCATGATGTACAGATGACATCAAGCCAGTGAAAAAAGTACCTTTACTTGTAGTCTACATTCTTTCTTCCAATTATTAGTGCTGTTGCTTCTATTATCCCGTAGTCGATTGGGTCAAACTGATCGGCCTTTATTGGTATATGGACTCTTAATCAGATGCCTCGATAATATCTGTGCTTTAATTATATATTCCAGATGGATAGTGGTTAGCAGTGGAATCCAGGATGCACGTTATGGCTGTTTGGGGACTTGTCGGTTGAGTGTACCTGACTTCCAGTGTGTGATGTTGTCAACGCTGGGGCTCAAACACAGGATCGACAGTTTTAAATGCCACAGGGTTATCTCCTAGACCACCGAGCCTTGAAATTGTAGCTCTACCCGTCGTACAAGAAGTGGCTATCGTGTATGATTGATCTACTGCATAAGGTTAAGGCGTTTGAAGCGATCTAGCCAAAGTTCTATTCCTAGTGTGAACCACACCACTCAATAGTAAGTAGGTACATCTAGCTGAAGCATGTCGAATAGGACGAAACGCGCGTCCCGAATTCCACTGTTAACCACTGTTCATCATGAGTATTCAGATTATTAGGTTTATATTCGTTGTTGATTTACTAGTTATTGTCCGTCGTTATACCAGATAGAATGGTTCGACCTCTGCTGGCATAAGCGCTCCTATATGGACGCAACACACGTCCTGAATTTCTCTGCTAGCTAAAAAGAAGTAAATTTAGATTCATTGTTACGTCGTTACAGAGAATTCTTGTCATCCCATCGTTTGATTTACTGTATAAGATAGCTAACGCATTATGTAAAGAAATAGCTTAAGTTTCAGTTTCAAAACTGTGGAACATCCAGACATTCGAAGATATAAAGCAACTAAAAGCTTGGTAAGTGAAACAAACTTGTAATAAACTATTCATTACCTGGGGAAAAGCTTGGTAACTTAGAAAGGTAATATTATATATTATAAGACCAAAACTTGGGCTCTGTAGCAGAATTCAATTCCATTTTACTATATATATATATATATATATATATATATATATATATATATATATATATATATATATATATATATATATATATATATATAACATAGTAGAACAGTTTTATCAACTGGACTGGGTTTCAAACATAACTTATTGTCCATAGTCATATCAAGATAAATTCACGACTTTGAGACTTCTTTTATGTAGTCCCGATTTCCTTCCCTACTTTGCGATATAAGTAGTAAAGTTTTCTATATATCAGGAATAGGTACTTTTCTAAATTATCTACCTTATTACCGGTTTTGACCTAGCTACGTTTTTGTGTATGTATAGCTTAACTGATCTTCTAAGCTGACTACCTTGACTTATGTATTTAATCTTACAATCACTGCAAAGGAGTTGATAATTACGTTATTCTGCTTAATTGGATCGATAGGATCTTTTAGTCTACAAAGCTTATTCCTGAGTGGGTTTAGAAGGTATTCGTCTGGATTAGTAAATTTTTGTGGGGAATCGACTGAATTTACACGGTTTCTATCACTCATCCACATCGGTCAAACGATCATTTAAAACCTAGGCAGACTGATCAGCTGTTTATTTATAACTCAAGACTACTTTACGGTACTCACGCTCAATTCATTGGATCTTACCACTACCATCCTAACGCTTAAGTAGGGATCAGAGTCCAATGACTGACATTTTTCAACTTCAGTCAGCTCGTGATATTTCACAAATATCTGTCAGCACTTTCGATAATTATTTGACTTCATATCTGACTTGGGGGATTCCACAGGTCACTCAAATTTCAAGGAGTTTATCTGAGTACAAATTACAAGTGAGTGTTAGATTTTTATTCACTCTAGAGGTTTGTGGAGGATTGAATAATTTCAAAGGTATTTTTATCATGAATCAACATTATCTAGACAAAATGGCTGGCAAACCCTGGATATCCGTTCCAAGCATGTTTAGGATTCTTTCGCAGTACTCACTAACAATCCTGTGAGCCACTGTTAGTAGAAATTTAATTGATTCACATTAAATCATTGAACATCAATTCATTATTTATTTGAATGACTTGTCGATGATGTGTCATGCTCAAAAAAGAATGGTAATTATAATTATTCCACACTGAAAGCAACTAGTTGTTCATTATCATTGTACTTTGTAACTAAATTAAGGATTGGATGTACCTCCTTCCACTGCCAACCACCGTCCATCAATAATATATAACTCAAACACATGTAATATCAACGTATCCACGCAGCAGCCCATATACCAATAGAGACCAATCAATTCTGTCCAATCAACGATGGTATAATACAAGCAATAATAACAAAAGTATACCCGTCGCACAAGAAGTAATTATTATGGCTCGGCCCTGGAGTTTGAAGCGATCGCCCCAGGTACATCCAACTGATGAGTCCCAAATAGGATGGAGTGGGCATCCTGGATTCCATTGGTAGCCATTATCCATCATTACTACAATAAGAACACAGGTAATATCGAGGCATCCTCACAGAAACTCATATGCCCATAGAGACCAATCCATTCGGTTTTACCAATGATGGTATAATAAAAGAAATAACACTAAATAAAGGATTATCAAACGAAGTGAAGTAATTCTTAAGTTTCTAAGCTCGAGAACACCTTCGAATTAATGCTTTTCGTAATTTAGTTACTGTTTTCGTTTTCATATGAACAATAGTTGCTCTATATAACCATATTCGTCTCGGATTATGTGTAGAGTTGGCATTACGTAGTGATTGCAACCCGAACTCGTCTATTCACCTTTTCAGAAGCAACTTAATGTACTATATATATATATATATATATATATATATATATATATATATATATATATATATATATATATAACAAGTAATGGTTAGTCTAAAGTAACTAAACTACGTAGAAAAATTTCAGAACTGACATCAAGTTCTTTTCGTCCCGTAAAATTAGGTGTCACTGGTATACTATAAAGGTCTAACGTCTCCTTTCGTACGAACTCGACGTAACAATCACTACTTTGATATGTGTCTGTCATTATGACCAATGTCTCTGATATTCATTTACGGACGATAACAAACTTCATAAAAATTAGCGAATACTTTGGGTTTTGTAAAGCCAGTAAGAACTACTACACATAAACAAGTGATTTTTTTTATCGCCAATTACTATTTAAACAAGTAATAGCCTGTACAGTTTTCATTCCCTAAAGAAGAGACCTCCATGAGGTTGCCAAACGTCAGAAATCCATCTTGTGACTTCATTGGGATTTTAAGAATACATTTCTCTTATGATCCTTTTACTGGATGCTCAAATTATTCGACTCTATCAGATCAAGTTTGTATCCTGAAGTCTGTAAAATCTTTAGGTTATACAAGGCATGTCCTTGATGTTTCGTTTCTCCTCCATAACTTGGTATAACCACTAAAGTTAGATCTTGCCATGAGTATACGACCTGTCAGAGATGATAAGTGGAATAAGGCATACTGATGACGAGAAATAAAAAAGTCAATCCGATTTCTTGGTAAATTTTTTTGATATGTGTTTCAGCTTTGACTTTAGCACTGCAAAATTTGCAACCGTGGCCTATCTAACGGTCAATATGTAGATGTGTGAATAGTACGTTTCAATCTTTAAAGTAAAAAGGAAGAAAACAGGTTATTATCAGTAATGTTTATCGTAATAAAGTGAATTCTTTTGTACAATTATAAGGTGAGGAATGACTTTCCGCTAAAAAATAATAATTGAATCAACATGCTGAAATATTAACTGAAAAGACAAACGATTATCTTTTATATTGTTTTACTGAAATGAAGTTGAGTACTCTAGGATTATTCAGAAAAATAAATGATTTACGGGCCTTTTATTATACAGAGGAAGAAGTGAAACTGACGCATTTTGATCAGGAAGGCATTGAGAAGTGAAAGTTTCTATACATATAAATATTTCAATGAATCATCTGTTTATTTGCATTTGGAATAATACCAATCCAGGTAGGATTAGACTGATCCTACTCATATGAACTACATTCATTCAAATAAACAAAAACAAAGTTGTAGAATTACCATGTTGGATAAACTTTCGTAAGTGAGATAAATAAATACATCATGAGTGCAAAAATATACTACTGACAAATATGAGTAGTTAGGACCCACTCATGTTGATCTGTAGATGTCACTAGCTACATCAAAGTGATTGAAACATCGGATGGGAATTTCGTTCATTTGGGAGTCGAGGTCATCTGAGTCTGTCTTTCTGACTCGAGTGGACCAATATGCCTTAAATAGTATGTTTGCTCTCTAAACTGTTAAAAATGTTATGGTTCACTCTGACATTTCTTACAGCTCAGTAGCTTTGTTACTGGCCAACTGTGATATCAACTGAAATTGTGCAGAAAACTACCTACACAAGACCGCAAGGTGTGATCTCTGACACAAGAGTGTCCTGAACGACCAAAATATACTGTTAGAGTCAATCTGAATAATTCCTCTCTGCAAGCTTAATTTGTCCGGACACACGACTAATGAGCTTGGCTTCATAAGAGAAAACGGCAGGTCTACGTGAAGTTTATGCTGTTAGCAGACAGTTGGTTTCCAACGGAAATCCTGCTTACCCCACAGTCAGATGCATGAAAATACTCAGCTATGAGAAATGTCAAGGTGGACCGTGTAGTTTGTATATCTTTTGTGAGTAAAGTACTATTCTATTACTTTTTCTGAGAAGCTAATGTATAAAGATGTTAAGTGGGATTTGAGGTAGCATATGCCTTTTGGAACTGATTTTGTTCATGGCTGATGGGTGCTATTCTCTCACATTCAAGAATCTATCTTAAAAAGAGTTTTAAAAAATATTTTCAAGATATATGAGTAAAATATTCTCCCTTTATGTCATATATCGAGACCAGTTTGGCATAACATTTATCTGTTTCATCTAAGAATATTTCATACGCTTGTACTGCAGATTATTGAGTACTCTGACTGCACTGTTTTTTATACTGACACTATTCAAGGGACAAATTCTACTGAGATTCTCGTCACCACCTTCAATTTACAAAAAACTTTGATGCCAATAAGTGCACATCCCAAGTTAAACATGTTTTAAGATCACTGGTTTCAAAATTATTTATTTATGTTACACAAATGCTGTATTCAAAACAACGACCAGAACAGACAGAATTCAAGAAGTATAAATCATGTGCGGACCAAGTTGCTACGTTACACTACGCATCATCATAGAACAGAGTATAGAATGGCAGTCAACTCTCTACCTCAAATCCATCGACTTTGAAAAGGTCTTCAACAGCGTCAACCGACAAGTAATTTGACAATTGCCTCAACACTACGGAATACCACAAACCTTCATCAGTCTCATTCAACAACTATATGAAGATGCCATATGACAAGTAATTCACAATGGGAAACTCAGTGATGAATATGAAGCGAAGTGAAGACAGGAGACAGGAATGAAACAAGGCTGACATCTACTATCACCCATGATATTCCTGATTGTAGTGTACTGTATCATGCAACAAACAGTGGGGAGTGAGAGGAGAGGGATACACTGGACTGCGGAAAAGAACCTAGAGGATTTGAATTTCGCCAAGAATGACTTGCGTCTAATGTCACATGAACTGGAAGATCTACAGGCGAAATCCAACAAGTTGACAGAAGAGGTGAGGTAGGGCAGCGAAGATGGGACTTCAAGTGAATATGGAGGAGACAGAGGTGATGAAGATACCTAACCAACAACAACAATAACAACAAGCTCCAATCACCATGAACGGGAGAAACTTAAAGGAAGTAGCCTCTTCCACCTACCACCGAGGCAGCATCATTTCAACTACAGGCGATGGCACAGACGAGGACGTCAAAGCCAGTCAGGATCAAAAACGTAAGACGGGCTTTCATTAGCCTGAGACCAGTGTGGAGATTTTCTGCACTCAGCATGAAGCATGAACAACATTCAGATTTTCAGCATTTAGCCGGTCAAGTCAGTGCTTCTGTATGGTTGTGAGGTTTGGCGCGTCACGAAAGGGATTTCCAACAAACTACAGACATTGATCAACAGCTGGCATTTACGCTGGCTTGATACTGAAGCTGAAATGGCCAAAAAGAATAAGCAACAAGGAACTCTGGCTGTCGACGAACTAACCAAGAAGACCATTTAGGGACGTCACGCTCCAGGCCAAGCACTCGAGTGGGACCCCGACGGAAAACGACAAGTTGGGCGTCCAAAGTTGAGGTACAGGAGATGGTGTGAAGAAGAAATGACAGCTTCTGAGTTGTCATGGCACCAGGTTCAAAAGATTGCAAAGAAGAGAGTAAAAAGGGGGCGGGCCGCTGAGGCCCTATGTTCCACCAGGAACCCAAGAGACAAATAATAGTAATATAATGTTATTCAAACTGTATTACTTTAATGCAAGTTTTGCTTCGTATTTGCAGGAAAATCAATTGTGTGGTTTCATTTTGAAGTCTGATCCATACAAGTTCTAAGATATAAACCTGAAAAAACTCGGATAAGATTTTTACTCAAGATATGTCGTATGAAACAGTCATACCGAATTGATTTATTCAAGTTTGACAAGACAATTAGAGAATGTGAATTGTATAAATGGTGTAATAAACTAGTGCAGTGCATCTCAAGACATGGAGTCGAACTCGTGGTTTTCATGCACATCAAGATAAAACCTATTATAGGATGAAGAGATCAGAGTAAAAAGGTGTTATATTATTTTGTTGAATACTCTATTGAGAAGGAATAGGGGTTAGTGTGCTTATAACCGGAAATGATACGAAGAAAAGATCCACTGTAAGCCAAGAAGTTTTACCAGCTAGTTTTTGAACACTACTACGTATTACTTTACCATTACTTAAATGATCCTAAGAACTTTGGACATCATACCTCACACTTTATTATTCAACTATTATCTGCTATATCACTTTTGAAACTTTATTCAATTCGAAGTGCTTCTCCACCATCATCATGTAAAATTCCAATGAATTAGAAAATTTAATTTCTGACGTTTCATGACATCGCGATTTCCACGAAGTTGTGAAGCGTCAGAAATTAATTTTTTCTGCTTCATCAGGTTTTTGAAAAATATATTTCACTTATAATCCAATTACCCAAAGATCAACTTATTCAACTCTATCATGTCAAATTTTGATCCCGAAGTTTACACCATCATGTATTATCCTAGCCTATTCATCGTTATTCTTCATGTGACTGTCAACATGAAATAAGAATATCAAGGAGAAAAAGAAAGATAATGTCTCAAAAATTCCTCGACATTTGAAATTTGACCGGCCAAATACTTTTTGTTGCGTTCCATTATGTCCATCCAACAAGTATATCATTCATTATGCTTCATATTCGTTGTTTGATAACGCTATATACTATAAAGAAGCTATAACTTTTTATTGTCATATAGTAAATGGTGTACAGTTGTCGGTTTTACAACTGCCTGAAGGCTATAATTCACTTACCAATATCTGAGATATTTATTGATATATTCTTCGAGGCACCATACTCTTCTTTATTTAGAGATATCTTAGCCACTTCACTATTATCGTGCTGTTGAACTTCTGGATGATGTTCAAAATTATAAAGTAATTTAAATCCTAGTTCATTTGGTCGACTAATTGAATCACTTTTAAATTTCAATGTCAATGCATTTCCAGAAGAATGAAAGTAATAAGGTTCGGATATTGAAAACATTTCTGGTTTTTTACGAAATATCATTTTATCTCCACAGTATTCAATAATTAATGGATCTTCAGTATGCATCCCATCGAACAACTGTACACGATCACCCATCAAAGAATTTATGTTATCACAACTAAAAAATGAAGTAAAAGTGAATTTTTTATCAGACTAAAACTAGACAAAGAATATTTTAAAATATATAAAATGATTGTAAATGTTTTGTTAAAATTTGTTGTAATTCTTCAGTAGTGAGGTAAACTGATTGATTTGTCCCTTGAATTCCTAAAGAAATATACCGCTTCAGTAGCATGTTTCCATTCCACTCTCTTCTCTGTTAACTTTTCAACCTGACTCCAAGACAGCCCAGAAACTCTCATTTCTTCTTTGCACTATCTCCTCCATGTTACCCTCAACTCAGACGTCCAACTCGTCGTTTCCCATCTGGGTTCTACCTGAGTGCCTAGCCTGTCGCATGATATCCCTGAGTGGACTTCTCAGTGTATGCTCAATCCATCTCCACTTTCCTCAGCATATTTGTTGAGTGACAGGTATTTGATTGGTTCGTTGCCAGAGTTCCTTAAAATTGATTTGAGGACTGATAATTTCGTGTTTTTTTGATCTGGTGAAGGATATTTGTAAGACAACAATTGTATTGTAAAACGTCCATCATATTCTTCACTTTCTTTCACCTATATTTATTCATTAGGAACTTCATCGAACTACAGCACTTACAAATCAAGTCTAAACTTATTATCCACCTTATTATTACATCAATACAAAGTAGTTAGTCTAATTATCAAATTTTATCGAAAAAGATCTTCGAAGAAATGAGAAAAATGATGGGCTGAGGCAATCTTATTATTAGTTTCCAAGCTTTGACCTACTTTCATCTTTTCATTCTAAATATTCACAATTTCATTTATACTACCACTAATTCTATTATTTAACAGTATACAATGCATGATATTCTTATTATTGACTCACAGGTCACTTTGATTGAAAGCTGCGTATATCAGAGTATAGCCTGAGGAGAGATAGTTGAAAGCAATATTGTTGGCTTACATGTCTTCTTACATTTACTGTTGTGTCATGTAAACAACAGCAGAAACGTAAGGTTATCCAAGCAACTTCGGAGAAGAATTTATATATATACGTTTTGTATGAACCAGGGGTCTGGTTTATTTTCAGTAATTATTTCAACGTATGATAACTCCTTCTGTATGGTTCAGAAACTTGACCTGTCACGAAAAGCATTTCCAAAAAACTAAAGACACATCACCAACAGCTGCCGCCTACGCTGGCTTGATACTAAAGATAAGATGGCCAGGATAATAAGAATAAGCAACAAGGAACTCTGGCTGACATCGAATCAACCAACAACCTATTGCCCAACAAATATGCAGAAGAAAGTGGATATGGATTGGACTGGGCATACACTGAGAAAACCATTTCGGAGATATCACGTACAGGCTAGGTCATCGAATGTAATCCGAATGGAAACGACGAGTTGGGTGTCCGAGATGAGGGCCACATGGAGAAGATGGTGTGGGGAAGAAATGAAAGCTTATGGGGATTCGTAGGGACAGGTTCAAAGAGTGCAGAGAAGAGAGTGGAATGTAGGCGTGCTACTGATTACTGAATAATGTCAGGACAATGTTCGATTCCCATATCAGTTGTTGTTAATTAAAAAAAAAACAATTTAATAATCAAATTTCTGTTTCCATTGATACGGTCCAATCAGCACCCGTTACTACATGAAAACTGTAATATATCTACTGTACAAAGAGTGGTGATCGCGACTCAGTAGTTTAACGGACAACATTCTGTCGTTCGAAGCAATCGGTCTTTATTCCGAGTCTTGGTGAGAGCAAAATCACTCACTAGGAGGCAGGCAAATTGAAATGAAAAGTCTTAAATAAGGCGAAATGCATCTCCTTGATTCCACTGCTAGCCAGTCTACATCACTGCTTCTAGAATCTTCCAGTCTACTTTGTTTTTACCAAGACAGGACGAGAGCCTATATAGTAAAAAGATTATCTGAAGTGGAACTTTGCCTATCTCCTAGGTACTTAATTTAAAAGGCATAATAGGCTAACAGTTGTGAATGATTTTATCAGCATAATTTCGTTTTGAATGCGAAAAAATACACTCTGATCTAGGATATATTCAAAGCAGACTATAGAATTGAGCCTTTTTAATGAAAATATGGTTGACATAAAGTTTCTGTTGATATTTTGTGATATTTTGGTATCCAACTATTGTATATGAAACACCTTCAAATGAAGAAGATTCAGCGAGAATCTCATAATAATGGCTCCAAATCAGGGATATAAAAAGATAAATGATAGGAAACGTGAAATTTTGAATTTTACCTATTAGAATGAGTATTCAAGATGAATAGTATTTATTAAATAAGATAACATTCATAGATATGCTTACTTTTTAGAGTTTCCAAGTTTTAAGTATAAAAAGTTAACAACAACTCTTTCATTTAGTTGACCTATAAAAGTGTACACTTCTGTTATTAAGGGTGGATAGACTTCAGGGAAATTGACTGAATGAATTGAACCTTGAGTATGATTTAAAGGACCTGCAGAAAAGATTAATTTTCTTTGTACATATTTTGGATCCAGTAAATAGTTTGAATAACTATTGTGTTGAGTATCCATTAAATCTGAATGTACTGAATTTTCAACTAGAAAAGTAAAATAAAATAAACGTGATAGGTTACAATGAAGTTTAAAATGTTTTCATTTATTTTGCTAAAGCTGTTCACAATATACTACAGTCTGACATACCAACTAACAATCCAAAACAACACTCGTGAAAAATAGTAACATTCTCCTTGATAATCGAACAATGGAACATAGAATACTCGGAACTAAAAACCTCAATAAGTGGTTAGTTGTACATTACTGATGGATAGTTGCCAGCAGTAGGACCCAGAAGGTGCTTTTCGTTCTACTTGGGACTTCTTAGCTTGACATACCTGCTTTCAAGTGAGTGATGTTGTTCCTACTGGAACTCTAACCTAGCATCGATTACTTCAGCCAACCACTGAGCCACGATAACCACTTCTTGAGCATAGGGTATAGTTTTAATGTAGTTGCTTGTGTAATGGTCAGCTGTAGACTGTTGTTTTTTTTGAAATATATGGTGTATTCCATGAAAATGATAACAATCAAAGATATTTCTGCCTTGCTGCATCATGTGACAACCAATTTCGTCTTGAATTTATGTTTTGGCTAAAGCCAGTATTCAAGCTTTGGGGAAACATTACCTAGAAAATTGATAATGAACTAGTTAATAATACCTGACCCATTTGAAGCCAGCAAGTTATTCCATTATAAGACATAGTTACATGTATAAATCGAACACTAATGCGCCCAGTAGTTCAACAATTTCGCTCTAATTTCGAGGATGCACTGACAAAGGATAATTCTGTTGGATGTTATTGTAAAATTGGAATCTTGTATCAGCATTCAGAAGATTTATCCTCATTCTTCTCCCCTTCAACTTTTTGCATCTGTCTACTTAACATTTAACACCATTTCATTCCTCTGATGGTCCAACTCCAGAGAAAAAGAGGCAATTCTGTCCAGAGATCTATGAGCAGAAAGCCCACTAAGAATGAATAACTTTCAAGGTTGTGTCTCTTTAGGTAGAAAGACAGAATGAAAGAGGAATCTAAACAGCTGATTCTCCAGAAGAATATGAATATCCACATTTGATATCTTCGACAATGGACAAATACATCTGTGATAAATTCTGAGGAAAAGTGGATAAGCACGAGAATTCATAAATAAGAATTTGTAGCCAAAATATCTCTTAAGGCTTACGTATTACTCAAGAAAAATCATACTACTTAACCTTGAATTCTAAGGTGGCTAACAGGCGAGAATGGAAATACGTCTCCAGCTCTGCAACCAAACATTTAGTAAACTTAAGACACTTGGCTCACTGTGACAATTCCCTCAAAATTTTGCACAAATTTCAATCAAGTCACCTGGAAAAGGTAAGGATTAGACGCTTGGGAATGATGAGTGCTAAAAAGTATGGAAAACCTCTTTATTTGCCATAGACATCGCACTCTGTCATTTGAGTGGAAATTACTCTAGAATATTTTATTGTTCCTATTGTGTATTCACTGTATTTCTGTATGAAGTAACATTGATTTATTTAATTTTATGATACTTCATCCAGTCTAAAACCGATCCGAAACGTGGTGTTAGAGTCCTATGTCTTTCAGGTAATAAATACCATATGCCGCATATCCTGAGTTATTCGACCACCTCGGGTCTATTTGAGGAGATGAGTGAAGATTATTCTGCGTTTTAACTTACATTACTTATTCAGGTTTTCTTTGACTTCATGATCATCTGAATTTATCTCATTTTCGAGCATTAAAGCATATGTACACGTAGTACCTAGTATTTAGAGGTAATCTGAGTCCTAACGAAGTCAAGTGGCTTGGGAAATAAACTTTCAATGCCACCGTAATTACAAACGTAGTAGCGCAATATTCGACTGCAATCTTCTGTTCACTATAGTCAGTGAAGAGTAAAAGTGAATGTAGTCAAGTGTCTTATTCAGGAAGCTCTATCAGCAAAATATCATCTCGTTCATTACTTATTGCCATAACTAGAAAACAGCTAGTTAACACTTAACAGAATCGATGCATTTTTTGAGTAGAAAACTAAAGTAATAAAATGAACGTATGCAGAGACTTGGTTTCAAAAGCTTAACAAAACGGCCAACTGTACCAGCGGCATTTCCTTCAGTTTGGTGTATATTGAATCAGTTGGGAAAGCATAGCTAGCTATTGACTGAACCATAAATCTGAGGGCTTTATTCTAAAATATGTATGAAATCTAAGAGTGCTGACAGAATCTAATCGATCGTTTTGCAATTTGACCACTAAGCTGGGAACCTTAACATTGGTGGGTACTTAAAGATTCTAATTAGTTGTAGGAAATAGTAAACAAGCCCATGCTTCAGACTGAATTCGTACTTGCTGGCAATCGTCGGGAAGGAGTGTCCAAAACGTCAAGAAATGGAAACTTAGGTTGAAAATCATTACTTGACAATTACATTCAAGCGTGTAGCATTCAACAAAGTGCACTGTGATGCTGGGTCTCCCAGCTTGTTCGACACGTCGTAAAATGATAGATGGAATGAAGTTAGTGCTTAGAATCAGACAACCTAAAATTGGTTGCTTTTCAATAATCAGTCAATGTGTCCAATCTATTAGTACAGAAGACAGAACCTGGTTCAGGTAGCCTGAACTAAGGAAGTGAGTGACAATGGCTTGAATCTCATAGGGGACATATGTCTCTGTCAAAGTTGTAGATAAACCTTGATAGTAAGTGCAAAATAGCCTGTAACTTAGATCCAAAGCTTCCTGTCAAGTGCGTCCAACCAACCAATCCAGTTTATTTAAAATTCCTTCAATTGGTTCATTACATGAATTCTTTGTGACCGATATTCCAGAGATACACGTATTTCATATACTAAGTTTGTTCTGCTATAGTCGTTTAATGACTGTACTTCAAAACTCTAATAACCCTATGTGTGTTTTTTCTAACCAGATGCAAATACTACCATTTTAGAATTTCTCCTAATAATTATTGTTATCCTTTCAAATTTCATTGATAATCCAAAGTTGATTTTTACACGGTTATGCATTTTATAATCGGTTGTATCATGTAACGTATTGCGTTCAATATTTCAATGTAGATACGTACAACTTGAGACTGAGAAATGCAATTTTATTCCTTGAAAAAAAATTCAGATTTGACTTGTGGTAAATAAGGAAGATTTGTTTTCCCACAAATTCATTAGGGTAACAACTGACTGAGAGGAAATGATGCAATTTTTATTTCCTTTGGTGCATCGATATATAGATGGCAGTCAAGTCTCTACCTCAAATTCATTGACTTTGAAAAGGCCTTCAACAGCATCGAACGACAAGTAATTTGACAATTGCCTCAACAATACGGAATACCACTAACCTTCATCAGTCTCATTCAACAACCATATGAAGATGCCATATGACAAGTAATTCACAATGGGAAACTCAGTAATGAATATGAAGCGAAGTGAAGACAGGAGACAGGAATGAAACAAGGCTGACATCTACTATCATCCATGATATTCCTGATTGTAGTGTACTGTATCATGTAACAAACAGTGAGGAGTGAGAAGAAGGGGATACACTGAATGAACCACTGATGATTTGTGTCCCATGTTTTCTGTCACGAACTCGAAGATGTAGAAACGAAAACCAACAGGTTGATAGAAGAGGTGAGGTAGGGCAGCAAAGACGGGACTTCAAGTGAACGTGGAGGAGACAGAGATGATGAAGATACTCAATCAACACCATCAACAACAACAACGACCTGCAATCACCATGAACGGGAAAAGCTTAAAGGAAGTAGCCTGTTTCACCTACCACCGAGGCAGCATCATTTCAACTACAGTCGGGGGCACAGGAGAGGATGTCAAATTCAGGATCGGAAAAGTAAGACAGGCATTCACTAACCTGAAACCAATGTGGAGATCTACAGCACTATACTCATCATAAAGCGTGAACAACATTCGTATATTCAACAGCAATGTCAGTCAAGTGAGTCAGTGCTTCTATGTGATGGTTGATAGACTTATCGCGTTACAAAAAGCATTTCTGACAAACTACAGATATTCATCAGCGGCTGCCACTTACGCTGGCTTAATAATGGAGATCAGTTGACTAGAAAGAGTAATCAACAAGGAACTCTGGCTGACATCGAATCAACCAACAACCTATCGCCCAACAACATGCAGAAGAATGTGTCTAATTGGACTGGGCATTCACTGAGAAAACCGTTCGGAGACATCACGTACCAGACCCTGGAGTGGAATGCAGAGGGAAGACGACGAGTTGGGCACCCGAGGTGAGGGTGACATGGAGAAGATGGTGAGAGGAGGAAATGAAATCTTGTGGGCAGTCGTGGAGCGAGGTTCAAAAGAGTGCGGAGAAGAGAGTGGAATGGAGGCGTGCTACTGAAGCCCTATGTTCCATCAGGAACCCAAGAGAAAAATAAAATAATAATAATATAATGTATATAAAGTTTAAGGTGCGTGCATAATTGTTCAATTAGAAGTTGTCAGAATTTAACAAAACTTATAAATCACTTTTATATTAGCTTATATTTATAAGGTGTCATTCAAGTGCTTTATTGTGGGATTAAATTTGATGTAGTTATTGTTTTCGACCCTACCGAATTCCAGTAAGAGTGTGAATTGAATAGACAAAAAAAAAATTTACTGAGCACTATCATAATGCTAAGAGTCAGATGTAAATGAGGGATCTTAATTTTCTTATTTGAGTTATCATCACAGGGTGCTTGGATCAAAGACCCAACTGCGCAGTGATTCAGGTCATGATGAATTCCTTGTAAGACTAAATTAGGTAGACAACTGAGGCACAACTGAGTAACCCATGTAGTTCTGTAGACATTGACACTCACCACTGATTAAAGTACCCACGATAAACGGCATAAAACATGGTCGCATCACTAGGCTTATTGATCATGTTACAGACTTGATAGATAGAGTTCGATCAGTGCCAAATAAGTTACTCATTAATGACTGATTCATGTAGTCAACAGAATAATAAATATTCTATTAAGCCCTTGAATAGGTGAAATATAAAAAGTACTATTGAAAATAAACGCGTTATTCACCTTCATGAAATTGCATACTTCTGGATGAAGTGAACCCGGCATCCGCAACCAGTAGTTTAGATTTGTTCAGACTTGTTAAGTGATTTGATTTTAGTTGGTTAACTTCGAAGTTTTGATGTTCCACAATATCAACATGTTTTTGATTAGAATCGTTTAAAAATGGTGATGGCTTAACTTGTGACTCATGAACAAATTCATAAGTTCCATGAAATCCTTGACCTTGAAATATAGGATTCTGACTTACAAAGTTCATTATCAAAATTGGAGTATGCGAAACCAATTGAATATTCTCTAAATTAGTACACAAATGTATCAGTGTTTTTAACTCTTCTTGAAAGACTTCAGATACAGAGATAATATCATGTTGAACATGTACAGAGTTCCATGTATTACATCTATTCATAAAAAGTGAAAAAAAAGGTCAACATTTTGCTTATTTTCAATAAAAAATAATGCGAGTTATTCATATTCCTCTATTAAAAAAAGAAACTACATAAAACATACACAGAACTCATGCTTCAGTTTTTGTAGAAATAACGTCTGAGATATCCAGTGCTCCCAAGTTTTCTATGGTTCTTCAAATGACCTCAGCTCAAGAAGAAAATTATCTAGAAATATGCTTCAAACTGTTTAATTATTACTTTTAAATATTAGAAAGCTATCGTTTGCCTACAGTTTAAATGAATCTTATTTGTAAAACAAATTTTATTGTAAAGACATCCAAACCAAGCTGGGATTTGATGACTTGAATACCAGTGACATTATCAAGGTTTTAAAATTCTTTTTACAGGTTACCTACTTCACATTCAAAGGTAAACTTACGGTACTGTTATGGGTTCACCCTATGGGTTCCCCTATAGTAGCTAACCTATTCATAAATAAATTTGAAGAAAGCGTCTTCACTTACTTAATAAAGACAAAATTTGGCTAAGATATGTTAATGACACACTTGTAATTTTAAAATGCGACTTATACCGGGTATTCTTAGAGCAGGTGAACTCTAAATTACCCAGTATCAAGTTCACCTCACAAGAAGAAATGGATGATGTGGAACTATCTTTCCTTGATTATCTTGTAAAACGAAAGGAAAAATGGACATTTAGGTATAATCTTTTTCAGGAAAGCAAAGTATTCGAACAAATATTTAAATTTCAACTCATCAAATCCAATCAGTGTGGAAGTTTCTGTTGCCTCTAGTTTTTTAAGAAGAGCACATACTCTAATAAGGCATGAAAATGAAAGAGTTAAGGAATTAAACTACGTGAAAAAGATACTTAAAATGAATAATTTACGGGCGAAATACATTCGCAAAATAAAAATTTCGTCAAACTACATCTTAAGACTATTCCAAAGTCATTGGCCTGAACACTAGTTATCCTAAACAGATCACATATATGGTATGAATTCAGGATAGTGATCAACAATTAAAATATCAGAATGTTAGTTGGTTGGAGGCAATCGACAAGAAGCCCTAGACCAAAGTTTTGTGCTTTTTTAGCACTCGTTAGTAAGGTGTATCTGCAACCTCAACGGAACTGATGTCGCGCTTGAGATTTGAACCCACATCACCCAACAACATGAAACATGAAATTGGTTGCACTCCCGTAACCAATCAATACATGTAATATCAGAGTGTTCTACAGAATATTTAACACATTGCAGAGCACCTTAGTTCAGCTGAAAGACGATATCACCCTAGATTCACAATCGAATTATGTTTCTAAAACAAAATGCTAGGACTGCAATGCAATATATACATAGGTTAGACATCTCGTAAAATTAAAATCTGTGTGATGAACAGCGAAAGGCTTCCACTAGACCCTTTAAAACTCCAGCAAAACTGAAAAAGCTTGAAAACGCTTCAGTCATAGCTTTACATGCTGTAATTTTACATTACAAGGTCAATTTTGACAATATGGAAATTATTCGGAAATTATAGAGAACATTTCAGATCAGAATCGACTCACTTTAAAGGGAATCAAAGTTGTCTAAATATGAATGAAGGAGTGAAACGTAGTTTCACTTCGTCTACAACCTTCCTCATATGCTAACATAACTAAAATACATGCATAAGAACTATCATTAAATGTGTGCATAGAAATCTCCATCTGTAATTCATATACTCGACACACATAACACACTACATATGAATATCATATTTATTCAACATTTCTGACAAGGTAGTATACTTCATGCAGAAGAACACTAGTCAGGTTATCGTTTATAAGTTTGGATATAGTATAATCCGGTTTACTATACCTTTGAGGAAGCTATGAGCCCTGAATAGAAAAATGCCTGTTGAAACAAATCTGTTTTGTTTTACATTGACTGGGAAATACAAATATCAAAATATTGAGTATTTTCTGGTGTTTTAACTGGATAGTATACCGAATCGATGCAAACAAACTTCCATGTTAGTAGATGACTGAAATGAATGCTACATATGATTGAACAATAGCAACCTGCATGATCTTGCCTAAGGCAAAGTCGAAACGTCATGGTAACTTTCAGTTTCTTGAGAAACCTTAAGTATTCTTTATATGTTTCCAAAGTTTGCAGGAGTAGATGTCAATCGTATAATCTTTACCACTCGTTCAAATTTTAACATGCTATACTGGTAGCATAAGCAAAACTTGATAAATTCTTTAAAAAAATTCCATTCTGTTTTCACTTTCTTTTCACTCAATCTGTGATTTTTGTTACAGAGACGCTGTGCTGGAATAATAAGCCCCATTCACGCTTTTTTACCCTGATTCCGCTTCAGCAAATGCCATTTGTATTAGTTTAGGTGATTAAGCACAGTATTTTGCCGGCCAGTTAACTACTCTTTGGAGTCGAAACAAATTACGAGGAAGATTCATTTCAAATAAACTTCAAAGAAAAAACTAGGCCTCTCTGTTTCAGACAGCAGCAGTAGGTGCCTCTAAGCGCACCACAGTCAAGAACTTGGGTAAGCTGAAAGTTTACTCTGAGTGATATGGTTTTTTTTGTGTTAACAACTGTTCGTAGGTTGGTGCTCTCTGAGCTTTGGTATCAAAGCTTCTTTCTCTATAGACAGCATCAAGTTGACTTGGAGTGTGCAGACAATATTGCCTTGCTAGGTAAAAACGCTGAAAAAATCCAGGGTCTTTTGATCATCCTCATAGAAAATCTGAGTATGTTAGATGTATGTCTTGGACCTGTGAAGTGTAAGCTGACTCTTCCAGACTGATATGTAACTACTCCAAGTTTATGAGTAGGGTGTGAAGTGGGAGAATATGTCGACCACTTCACTTACTTCGGGAATTGCATCAGCAAGGACGGTCTGGTTGTTCACGAAATTTCATCTCGGATACAGAAGGCTCTTTAGTCATTCGCAAATTTGTTTCATCTGTCGCACCGACTGACAAGGTATCCAACTCTGTACTAAAGGAGGAGTGAACTGCGCTGCAGTCGGTTCTGTCCTGTTACATTTTTGTGGGACATTACCGATAAAAGTAGGAGACATCAAGAGGTTTCAAAGTTTTGTTCATAGATATCTTCGCAGCATTACTCATATTTTATGAAATCACAATGTGGGCAACGTTGGTGTTAGGCAACGAGCGCTAGACAAGTCACGCAGGTCAATTGATGCAGCTGTGGACCTTAGTCGATCCAGATGGCTTGGACATGCACTACACATGCCAAGTCATTGCTTGCCTCGACACGTCATGCTAGTGGAAGTTGAATACGTTTTGAAGAGTGTTCAGGGTTGCCAGACCAAGATGTGTCAACAGTTGATGGAGGCTCTGACTGCTGATCTGATATGTGTGAAGGCTTCCTCGTCAAAGCCAGGATCAGAAAATCAAGACAGGCCTTCATCAATCTGAAATCAGTGTGGAACCTAGGTGGAAGACGATGTGTTGGGCGTCCGAAAGAAGGGTGCCATGGAGGAGATCATGTGAAAAAGAAATGAAAGCTTCTGGGCAACTGTGGAGCCAGGTTCAAAGGATGCAGAGAACAGAGTGCAGTGGAGGCATACTACCAAAGCCCTATGTTTTACTAGGAACCCAAGGGACAAATAATAATAATAATTTTGTGACTGTGATAGATAGCATGAACCACGGTCACTGACTTGATTTGTAAATTCTCTAGTTCTACAGCATTATGTTGTGGTTGTTTTGTGTAATCTGCATGTTCTTTAACTCTAATGAGGATCTCATAGAGTGATTCTCCAATGTAATAGGCATCTTAATCGACACAGCCTAATTTGTAGACACAATTTTGTGTGAAGGTATGAGGAACCTTATCTTTTACGTGAATTACAGCATTACTAAGAGTGTTGGTAGTCTTGTAAAAGGCTCTAATCCTGTGCTTTCTAAAGGTTCTCTATAGCTCTTCAGTTGTACCTTGACGGGATGGTAGAACTATTGTGCTAAGCGATTTCCACGAAATCGCGAAACGTCAGAAATTTATTTTTTCCCTTTCATTGGGATTTTACAAATGTATTTTATTTATAATCCATTTACCCAATGCTCAACTCATTCAACTTTATCAGGTCATATTTTGATCCTGAAGTTCACAAAATGTTATATGATCAGTTGTTAGCCATGTCTGTAGACCCGTAACTCCTTTTCTCAAACAGTTAAGTTCAAGATTTTCATACACCGTCTATACCTAGGGAAGTATGAATAGCCATGTGCTAGAATTAACCCTTACAAATCAGATGTGGCTCATTGCCTTATAAGTGGATTTGCTTGTGGTTGCTGAGGGAAATTCGCTTAGTTTCAGCATACATCACATCTGTTTTAACAGTTCGCTAAGGAAACGTTGGCGATATGGAATCTCATGTTTGCCTACAAGTGCCTGATGTGTCAACATAGGATCTCAGTAATCTAAGCATTTTGAGTTGTATTGCTCTTAGGAGGAAATAGTAGTGGTTCTTTAGGATAACTTTTCAAAAAATCACTGTGTTTGGGAACATATATCATTTTAAACTGTAATATGATGGTTAAAATATGCAAGACATCAAGAGACATATATAATTTCATTAGCTTCATATTACTTTTTGTATTGATTACTGTCCTGTAAGTCAACTTTCTACCTCAGCTTCATCGACTTTGAAAAGGCCTTCAACAGCATCAAACGACAAGTAATTTGACAATTGCCTCAACACTACGGAATACCAAAAACCTTCATCAGTCTCATTCAACAACTATAGGAAGATGCCATATAACAAGTAATTCACAATGGGAAACTCAGTGATGAATATGAAGCGAAGTGAAGACAGGAGACAGGAATGAAACAAGGCTGACATCTACTATCACCTATGATATTCCTGATTGTAGTGTACTGTATCATGCAACAAACAGTGAGCAGCGAGAAGAAGGGGATAAACTGAATGAACCACTGATGATTTGTGTCCCATTTTTTCTGTCACAAACTCGAAGATGTACAAACGAAAACGAAGAAGTTGACAGAAGAGGTGAGGTAGGGCAGCGAAGATGGGACTTCAAGTGAACGCGGAGAAGACAGAGGTGATGAAGATACTCAATCAACACCATCAACGACAACAACGAGTTCCAATCACCATGAACGGGAGAAACTTAAAGGAAGTAGCCTGTTTCACCTACCACCGAGGCAGCATCGTTTCAACTGCAGGCGGCATGGATGAGGACGTCAAAGCCAGCCAGAATCGGAAAAGTAAGACAGGCTTTCATCAACCTGAAAACAGTGTGGAGGTCTTCTGCACCCAGCATAAAGCGTGAACAACATCCGTATATTCAACAGCAGTGTCAGTCAAGCCAGTGCTTCTATGTGATGGTTGAGCGACTTATCGCGTTACGAAAAGCATTTCCAACGAACAACAGATATTCATCGAAAACTGCTCACGCTGGCTCATTGCTGAATATCAAATGGTCAGAATAATAAGAATAAGCAACGAGCAACGAACCAACGAAGAAGCTATCGCTCAACAAATATGCAGAAGGAAGTGCGGTTGGATGGGTCATGCACTGATAACACCATTCGAAGACATCACGCGTCAGACCAGGCACTCGAGTAGAACCTAGACGGTAAACGGCGAGTTGGGCGTCCGAGTGGGTTGTGACATTGAAGAGATGGTGTGAGGAAGAAATGAGAGGTTGTTGGCAGTTGTAGTGCCAGGTTGAAAAGATTGCACAGAAGAAAGTGGAATGAAGACGTGCTACTGAATCGGTATGTTCCACTAAGAAACCCATGAGGCAAATAATATATATATATATATATATATATATATATATATAATAATACTGTCTTGTAAATCACGATACTTACATTTCTAGACTACCGGTATAATCTCCGTTGAAAATTGGTTTTAACCTTATCGAACGAAATGTGAGGATTACTCGTTCATTTTTATCTGCTTTGAACATATACTTACATCTGATTTTCGGTGGGTAATTGCTTGGATATCGAGGAGAGAAAAAATTTCCATGTTTAATAGTCCCATTTAATGATTGTACATTATGAAATTCATAATTACAAAGTGTATTTTCTTCAAGCTTTCCAATGATCCTATAATTGCCTTGAGAAAAATAATTCAATCATTACATTTAGATAAAAGTAAATAGTAAATGGATTTTATAAATGGACAGAATATTGACAACTATATATAGAAGAAAATACACTTTGAAGAGGACGTGGATTATTCCTCATTGATTTCATGCAAGAAGTTACTATCTAGGTTTTTGTATACTTCTGTAAGTTTGTGACTCAACGATTGAAATGTACTATTTCTGACATTTACATCTTCATAGAAGTCTGATATCGTTGGTTTGAATACAACTTACTATATCTTTGAAATGAGCACAGATATCATTGTATTTTATATTCGATCAGGATAATTATTTTCACTGGTAGTCGGGGTTTTCGCCTAATTACTGGGGGATTCAATCATGGAAAGCTTCACAAATATCTCTGATTTAGCCAGTCTTAGCGAATATTATTCATTATAGACATGATTTAACATTCAAGAAGAGAACTTAGGCACCCACTGAGAAAAACTCGTTTCGCAAGTTACACTTAGATTTTGAAATACGTGAGCCTGTGAATAATTGAGGGTCCACGAAGTGGGATGACTTCCCCTCAAGCGCCTCATCTCAGGGTATTTTGTTCTTCATAATTTTTGGCTAGGAAACTAATTTCGATAAGTCCGATGTTCAGTTCTCGTTTTTATACTTCTCACAATGAAATATTACTAATTGTTGTCCTCACTTACAACAACATAAATCCCCAACTTTGAGATACGGTTCACATAGTTATAATTCTCCCTCCTTCTTTATGAAATGGATAACTGGACTTTAGATACGTCTGGTACGAGTATAGAGTCATTCCTGCTGTACGTAATCCGTGTTGATTTGACATGCTAAACCACCGCTGAATCAATATCAGTAAACCAAAGTCAAATTTGGACCATCAGAGAATAGTAATACTTACCTCTGCACAAAATAATGCAACACTGGAGACAAAATGACTATACTCAAAACAAAAAAAATGAACGGAGAGAAATAGGCTGATAACACAATCTTTCTTTTAATTCGCATCTGCTTCCACACAGGAAATTAGTTCAATTTATCCCTTTCATATCAAAACACCGTGTTCCTTAATGCAGAAAGTGAACACAATATAAATAAGGAGAGTGAAAACACTATATTTCCATGCATCTCGACTATTCAACTTTCCGGAGAGCTCGTTTATGAAGAAGGATCCAAATCGGCGTAAACGAATAGCAGCCAACCGTTGTACACATGTAATCCTTCTACATACCAGGCATGTCAGTTAGCATTCCACAAATGATTGAAACACATTTTTGCTTCACGAGTGTCAAATAACCCACTCACTTTACACATGAATCAATGTGTCATATTATTGAATGATATTTCAGCAGTGTACATGAGTACACAATCCATTGCAATAAATGAACACCTCCTCTGACCACAATCCAGCTCAAAATAATGAAGGGATGACCTTGATTTCCAACTTCATGATTCTATTTGCTTACTTTCCTACTAACAATACTTCACCTTTTTCGTATTCACCACTGCTCTCATCGGCTTACTTTGCTCACCTGGTTAGTTGACAGTCATGCTATTGTCTGCACTAGATAAGAATTCTGCTACATATTTTTAAGACAGTATAATCTTCATGCTCTACTAACCACCATTTCCCCTTCTCTTATTCACTTGCCGAACGCATGCTGGCTTTGACGGTCAGAGCAATGCTTGAACCGATTCTTAAACTGGGTACCAAATTCATGCCGACGTCTATGTTTTTAACTGCGAAGAGATAGCATCCTTCTAATATCTTCAATACGGTAGCGTATAGTATTGGCCTTTTAACCATGTTTATTAACAAACTGGTTAAATACTAGGTCTATGCTATAGAAGATGACTTCTAACTGTCTTCATTCACATATTTTCAAGCGTTTTAGCCTAAAATTCTACGTTAGTTATTACTCTGAAGTAGGTGTATTTTCATTTTGACTTGTTTTTATCTACCTATTACACACCATCGCGTAAAATACGTGAGGTCTTATCCACCAACTGTTTATTTCCTGTCCAAATATACAAATAAAACGATGAGCCTATAAGGTGTACGCAATATATTGCTTCGCCTCTTTTCACAAACTACAAGTACTATCAAAGAACCTAACAGGAAGGAGAAATCCTGTGGTTATTATCATTTAATTTGGAGAACTAACCAAGAAACACAGACCTCCGTATATTCAGTACTGCATATAGTGTAAAATAAATCACACATTTAACCTCGCCTAGTTAATAAGTTCGCTAGTTACTAGCCAGTCCTAAGCCTGGATAAAAAAGGTAAATTAAGCATAGGGTTAGAAACCATACACCAGAAAACAAATACAGTCGCTAAAGAAACTTCAAAACACAAGAAAAATATAAAAAATAAAAACAAACTCATTCCTTCCTACAATCGGAGAGGCAAAATGACGCAGTTTGGTGAAAACATTAAAGAAGCCAATTGGCCAATTTATCTTCGCTTCTCTAGATAAAAGCAAATCTAAGCATAGGGACAAACAACATCCGAACAATCTTCGAAGCTGGCTGGCAAGGCTGTCCAGATTGCAATAGAGATGAGAATGTATGGCATAGAAGTGCCAGGAATCTGCGAGGAATCAACCAGCACATGGAATGCAAGTGGACTCTCCAAAATGTCAACTGGAGAGGAGAGTCAATAATCTACTGTGATATTGTCACACAGATGACAACCACAAGCACACTGAGTTGTTGAGTGGCTATCACCATGTCTCCAACAGCGTTGGGGACTCTCTGTCATGCAGTGGGAACAAATCTCCTCTTCCAGGATCAGGACAATGACAGCAAGATGGAACCAACTCGAGAGGAGAGGAAGTCACAATCATACAATGCTACACCATGCAACCATAAATAACGCAGATGAAGAGAAGGAGGAGGAATTCTACAGACAAATTATATCAGTGCTGCACAGGACCACAACCCAATTCGTGACATCAAAATTATAATGCGTGGGGTGACAGGGATGACAAACTGGCAGAGGACAACACAGGAAGAGAAGTGATTATGGGCCGACAGGCACTCGGTGAAACAATGAATGAGAATGGGGAACTGTTTGCAGACTGCTGCGCATTCAACGACCTGATGATTGGAGGCGGTGTGTGCAAACACATGAATATTCACAAGGAGGCGACATGGATTTAATTTCACCAGACACCAGGACACACTACACTACAAATCAGATCGAATGGATTCCAATGTGAAGAAAGTGAGACGCAGTCTACTGGACACAAGATAAGATGAAGAATGGGAGCAGATGTGGGTTCACACCACTCACTGTTTAGTGCAAGGAACCTGTCTTCAAAATCAAGTTAAAAGCCTTCACGGATGTTGGTGACAGACCACAGTTCAAGTTCAACACCCACTCAGAAACTGAATTGAAGCACGAAACTACAAACGACATCTTCACGTGGTCAGCCATCAGGACTAAATGGGAGATATTGAGCATCATCCCTGAAGAATCGGGCATGGAAGAACACTGGGACTTTTTGAAAGCTATGTGGAAAGAAACCGGCATAACCTTACTAGGAAGGAAGAGGAAACAAGACAAGGAGTGGATGTCGATGGACACATGAAAGCTGTTAGAGGTGGTGATGCTGTTGATAGTGAAGCAAAAGATGAACCATTGCAAAAATGCACAAGGAAAAGAAGAACTGAATACAACCTATAAAACACTAAACTAAAGAGAGTAGTGAAGACGAGTCCACTTAAAGACAAAACGCACTTCTACGACATATGGCAAGTGAAGCGTAACAGGCTGCAGATCTCAGAGACCTGACAACACTATATCAAAGAACCAGGTTACTATTCGGGAGGGAAGAGATTAATGCAGAGGAAACCAATGAAAGATAGTGACCAAAGAAGAGGAACAAAGATGATGGGCTGACAGCTTCAAAAAAACTCTTGAATCGACCACCATCACCACCTGCAACTTGTCTGGAGGTACCACCAACAGCCCAGCCACAGAATTATCAATAAACACAGGCCCTCTAACAAAAGCAGAAGTCCTGAATGCCATAAAGCTGCTGAAGTACAGGAAAGCAGCAAGACCCGATGGAATTCCACCGGAAGAACTGAAAACAGACTGAGAGACAGTAGCGGACATGCATAGACCACTACTGCAGAAGGTTTGCAAGGATGGAAGGAAGGAGAGATACCTGCTCATTGATTGAAAGTTAGGCTACCTTGTCGAACTGCTAGAGAAAGGCGACCTAAGGTTTTGCAGGAACTGGCGAGGAATCATGCCGCTGTCCACTCCAACCAAATATTATGTCGCATCAACCTGGAGAGACTAAAGGATGCACTGGATTCGAAACTACTACCGGAACAGGCTGGCTTCCGGAAGACAAATCATGCGCCGATCGAATTGCAACGCAACGCAACGCATCATCATAGAACAAAGCATAGAGTGGCAGTCAACTCTCCACCCCAACTTCATCGACTTTCAAAAGGCTTTCCATAGCTTTGATCGGGAATTAATTTAGTAGCTGCTTCAACACTACGGTTTAAGTGCCACAGAACTTCATTAACTTCATTCAGCAGCTATACGAAGACTCCACATGCCAAGTGATTCACAACTGAGAACTCAGTGATGATTTCAAAGTGAAGACAGGAAGGAGTAAGACAAGGTTGCTACTTACTATCATCTCCGATGATCTTCCTGATTGTGGTCGACTGCACCGGACTGGATCATGCAACAGACAACTATGAGGAGCGATAAGATGGGCATACGCTGACTGGATCGATGTGAAGACCCCAGAAGAAGATTTGCATTTCGACAATGATGATTTATTTCTAATGTCTTGTGGCAGAAACTCAAAGTTTTACTGGCGAAAACTAATAAGTTGGCAAAAGAAGCGAGGCAGCGAAGGTCTGCCTTTGGGTGGATGTAGAGAAGTCACAGGTGATGAAGATGCCCAACCAACAACAACAACGACAAGCACCAACCACCGCGAACGGGAGAAATCTGAAGGATGTTGTCTCTTTCACCTACCAAATAGACAGGATTGCATCAACTACAGGTGCAGGTGGCACAGATGAGGATGTCAAAGCCAGGATCGGAAAAGCAAGTCAGGCTTTCATTAACCTGAAATCATTGTAAAGATCTACTGCATTGCACTTCACTTAGCATAAAGCGTGAACAGCAACCAGATTTTGAACACTAACTCGTTCAATTCGGTGTTTCTAGGGTTCGTTGAGAGACATGGCGCGTTAAAAAAAAGCACTTTTTGCAAACTACAGTCATACATCAACAGCTGCCGCTGACGGTCACTCGATACTGAAGATCGATCAGATGGACAGAATAATAAGAATAAGCAACAAGAAACTGTGGCTGGCAAAAAGCCAACCAAGCAAGAACCTATCGTTCGACGAATATGCAGAAGAAAGTGGAGATATATTGCATTGGAATTGACAAGCACTGAGGAGAAGACTGTTTGGGAACATTACCTGCCTGGCCAGGCCGTCAAGGGGAACCTGAGTGGGAAACGACGAGCTGGGCGTCCGATTGGGGTGTGACATGGAGGAGATGATGTGAGGAAGAAATAAAAGCTTCTGGGTGGCCGTGGAGTCAGGTTCGAAAGGCTGCAGAGAAGAGAGTGAAATGGCAACACGTTACTGAAACCCTCCCTATGTTCCACTATCAACTCAAGGGACAAAAATCATGCTTTCACTTTATTGAATAGACATAACACTAAAACATTAAAGAATACTTGGTGACCACAAACATAAAAGTACATGAGGGTACTTTTAAATCATTGTTAGAGACACAATAAGGCATCATTCTGACCATACTAGCTGTTTAGATGTAAGTGAACGTTGAGTTGTGAAATAAAGTGCTAGTGGAACTTCAGATGATCTACGACAACTTCGATACCGTCAACAATATCAAAATCGTGAAAGTATCTTAAAAACATCTTGAACATCTTACTAGCCAAAGAAACATCTTTTCTGTACTCAAATATATAGAGGAAATCATATCCACCACAGAAGCTTAGAAATAATTATCTATGAAATGTTGGTTTAACAGGCTGATATCGAGGATGTTACTTCCAGATGAGAAAATGGTATCAAAATGAAATACACTATTTGACTATTACTTACTCACTCACTTTTCAGGTATACAATGAGTACAGAATTCTGTTTTTGACTGTACTTCTTAATTGTGTAAGCTAAGAGGCCTGTGCTGTACTATCGACAAGGAAATTCGATAGAACGTCAATAATTCCGATCTATTCATACTGTATTAGGAATGTGAAGTTATAGTTCTATGCAGCTGTGTCTAATGGTTGCAAGTGAAATCTGTTTCGCTTCCAACTTACGGGTATTTTACAGACATTGTTGTTAAAGTAGTCATCTTTAAAAAAATAGGAAAATCAACGATAAATTGAGTTCCACTGGTCTTTCAATAAATAATTTTTTACCACTGTACATCGAATGAATTAAAGCATCCAATGTGTACCTCGGTAAGCAATAAGGATCAAATAACATAAAATTATCTACACCCTAGTGACTAATCAGTATGTCTAATTCAATCATACAGGAAGACAGTTACAACGGAATAACTCGAAGGTGACGTCTTCGACTGTAGCATTGAGTGATGCGTGCTTTACTAAGCAAGGTACATCAGTTTCCTCAAAAGTTGAAAATACGCCTTGCTGACGAGTGCATGAAACACAGTTTGAGAGCAGCTGCCACCTGTTTACCTCTGTCCAACTATACCTCAAAACCAAATACTTACTGTAATAACTGACAATTAATAAACTTTTTTCAGTCACGTTACACCTATTTCATGTTAATCAATTCAGTATAATTATTGAATTTCTGCGATTCATAGAAGTATTTTCAAGGCATAATATCTCATAACTTACTTTTTAGCTCGAATGTAAACTGGCCAGTGAATCCTATTTGTTGACCATGCTTTACTTTCACACTTTTAGGGGCTGTATGAAATATAAGGAATAAAACTGAGTTGACTGAGTAAAATTCATTCTGTGGAAAATCATTCAAATCTCCACATATTCTATAATCAGCTGGTCTGTACAAATTAGCAGAAAATGTTCGTGATATTTGTTGATGTTGTTCAGGTAAGTTAGATAACTGATTTGAGATTGCTTCCTTTGAAGTTGGTTCTACAGTTTCTATTGTTGTGAATACATCTACATAGTCTATACACCTGGATAAAGTAATAAACAGAAACAGAAAGTGGACGTGACTGCAGGAAAGAGTAGTATGAATATATTGACTAAGGAATGAAAGGTAGTTGAAATTTAAGCAGGTGAGTGTATATACTCCATAACTCTTCACATACTATTCTGTTAGTACTGACCGGTTTCATTCTCCTTTTTATTTATCGGTAGACCCTATTCACAAGGTTGTTAAATTGCACTGTCTCAGTAAGGTGAATCAACATTATGCAGTTTTTGGCTAGAAAGGCTTACTTTCTGTAGGATCATACTCGAAATAAATCTAATCTGCGAATGCAGTTGATTCCAAGAAATCCAGTTTCATTTGCTGTTCGATTCCGTTAACATTGAACTATAAATGCAGTGATGGGTACTTCAAAGTTTCACAGTGGGTGAACCCAAGCTCATAGACCTGAACTCTACATCATACAAAGTAAAAATGATGCTGTATAAAGCTTGTTCAATGTCCACTTTCATTGTATCCTGGAATAGTGTATCGAAGACAGTCAAGTAAATAAATTGAAGAACACCTAAAACACATGAATGCTTAGTTAGACGAAAGTATTATGGAACACCATTTGAACACTACCTATTCGAAAACATTTGATCATATGTACAACCCTATGGAAACATTTGTGTAATACTTCAAGGTCTCAGACAAGATGAAGGAGAATGTCATGGTAAAACAATGATGTATTAGTATGCAATAAGCCTACCACCACAGCTGTCCCACTAACAAAACCTGCCAGACAAGATAATTTGGTTTACCGAATTTCATACATGACAATGAAGTCAAATGCTATAAGCCAGACTAGCTGACTGAGGTCAGTTTGGTTGGCAGAACGTAGAAACCTAGCTGAATATCATATAACAGATCCTAAAAAGATAATAATATTAGCTTTATTCTAAACGATGCGTGTGATACAGTATAGAATCTGTAGTACGTAATAGCTCAGTAAATTCATTCACGGTACAACATCTTTATATGAAACAATCATTGCATTTAAATAATGTTAATAATAACCGTAACATAAACCACAATGTGAAAGAAGCACTTAGTACTCTATTAGTATCTGCTTTGGACTGATTTCTGAGTATAATATTGAGCATAATTTTGATGGCGGTTGTTTATCCAACCAGTTACGAAATCTGCAATTCTTTATGGTTATCAAAAGGAATAGTTATGTATTGTATTTCTGTGCATTTATAAACCCACCTCTTACCCGGCGTAATAATTTTTCTTTATTTTGCTACTAACCTGGAAAACGCTCATTTGAAACTATTTTAAAAGTATGCAAGAGTATTATTATTATTATTAGTCCCTTGGGTTCCTAATGGAACATAGGGCTTCACTAGCACGTCTCCATTCCACTTTCTCCTCTGAAATCTTCAAAACCTGGCTGCACGACAGCCCATAACCTCTCATTTCCTCCTCGCACCATCTCCTCCATGTCACCCTCACCAAAGACGTCCAACTCGTCACTTCCCACGGGGATTCCACTCGAGTACCTGGCCTGACGCGTGATGTCCCTAGCCGGCCTTCTCAGTGCATGCACAATCCATCTCCACTTCCTTCCAGTGCATATTTGTTGCGTGATAAGTTCTTGGTTGATTCGCTCCCAGAGCTCCTTGTTGCTTATTCTTTCTGGCAATCCATCTGATCTTCAGTAGCGAGCCAGAGTAGGTGGCAGTTGTTGATGAATGTCTGTAGTTTGTTGGGAATCCCTTCCGTAACGCGCCAAGTCTCTGAACCATACAGAGACACTGATTTGACGTTATTGTTGAAAATCAGGATCTTGTTCTTTGTGCTGAGTGCAGATCTCTACACTGGTTTCAGTCTAATGAACGCCTACCTTGCTTTTCCGATTCTGACTTTGACATCCTCGTTAGTGACTGTGCTGCCTGTAGTTGAAACAGTGCTACTCTGCCTAGATAGGTGAATGAGGTTACTTCCTTTGAGTTCCTCCTGTTGATGGTGATTGGAGTTTGTTGTTGGTGGTGGTGCGGTATCTTCATCACCTCTGTCTTCTCTATATTCACTTGAAGTCCCATCTTCACTGCCCTACCTCACCTCTTCTGCCAACTTGTTAGTTTTCGCCTGTAGAACTTCAAGTTTGTGTGACATCAGACACAAGTCATCGGTGAAATCTAGATCTTCTAGGTTCTTTTCCGCAGACCAGCCTATCCCCCTCTTCTCGCTCCCACTGTTTGCTGCATGATCCAGACGCATTTAAAAGATGTATTTCAAATCTTAAACGAAATCTAAAGGGGACAATTTGATGTTATATATGGAGTGGATATATTTCAATAGCAGAAGGTTTGACCAGGCTACCTGTAGATCTAGGAGAACTCCCTGTCATAACCATGCACACCGTCATGTACGGTCACACAACGGGAAGGAATAGAGTGACCATCATAAAACCTACTTGGATAGGTGAGGAAGTTCATGACAATTAACTTTTCTTTATCTGTTGCACTTCAAAACAAATGATGTATCTATGATGATACTTGCAAATTCCAGTCGTTATACACAGTCGAATTGCCTAACTTCCTTAGACTGACGGGGTCTTATGCAGATGCCTCGATAATCACAAATATTCATCATATCATATACATCTTGATGACTAACACAGGAATCCAGGAAGCCCATATCGTCCTATTTGGGGCACGTCAGCTAGATATACCTACTATCTTGCCTCAATGGCGTAATGGATAGTGTTTTGGTGCTTGAAGCAACGATTAGTAAGTCGGAGCCATAATGGGGACAGCATCAGTCACTTGGATGCTGGTACATCCAGCTGGCAAGACCGAAATGGGACGAAGCGTGCGTACTACATCCTGCGGCTAGTCACCAAGATGAATATATTACCTTGGTAGTATTGATTTAGTTTTTAATGCTGACTGATATGTGATTTAAACTTTCATAGAAATAGTTCAACAAATTCGCTTATAATCCATTGAATTTTTCGAAATGTTTAGTACCAACACATCTTTTCATCATGCTGTTTAAGTTCATCAAAGGGGCTAATTACTTTACATGATGGATTCCGGTTTTCGTAAAGTCTGACTGTAGAGTTTGATCTCCTCTTATTGTATGGGAACTAAGACGTGAAAATTAGTCAGCCACCTATTTCGCACAATTTATGGACAAATTGATCTCGTATATATATATCAACGGTCTTTGAAAGAGAAGAAACCCTAGGATTTGTCCCTTTTTCCAGGTGAACTAAATAGATCAATGTAAGTCACTGAATATTTCACCGATATTTTACAGTCGCTAATAGTATCAAACAAGACAGAAGCATAATTTCATCCGAGTAAGATAAAAGTATCCTTGTATCTATCTACATCATGTGAGCCAATTTGATCATATTTGAAGCAAAGCATCTCGTTTATTCGGGATATCTATGAACAGTTAACACAGTTCCAAAGAAAACATTTATGTTTCGATTGAACTTAAACTACTTGCATAGTTGAAAGTTTCAAATGCATCACTAAAGGAATGTTTAAAAACTTTCTTTCCTACCTATTTGGTTATTAAAAATATCTTAGACAAGAAAATGTGGAAGTACAACTTTCAGATTTAAGCCAAATTATGAAATTAAAAAAATGATATATACAGTTAGTTTCAACTTTTGAATTGTTTCAAAATGATTAGTGGATTATTTTTCAGTCGTTTCAGTAACTACGTTATCTGTTTTCTGATCAGTCATATTTTCGTTGAGTTCATATCCTTAGGAGATTTAGAGAGATCAAGAATAACAGTTTTAGCAGAATAAGATTAATTCGTTTTATTTTAGGATGTCTCATCAACTACCAGCAGTATAAAGTAGTGTCTGAGCATATTCATTGGCTTTTGTAGCTAAGAGGTGGAAAAGTTCAACAGGCTTATTGCTTATGACCTTTGTAATAGTGAACTTGAAAGTGAAATCTAGATATCGTTTAAAATAACTAATAGAGGTGAATTCGAACTTATAGTGTTGTAGTTTGCTTCATATGTACCATCGAACGTGAGTCTCTTTTTATTTGGGACTCATTAGCTGGATGTACCAGCATCCAAGTGACTGATGCTGTCTCCACTATGACTCCAACTTAGTAATCGTTGCTTCAAGCTCCAAAACACTATCCATTACGCCATTGAGGCAGGATAGTAGGTATATCTAGCTGACGTGCCCCAAATAGGACGAGATTGGCTTCCTGGATTCCAGTGTTAGTCATCAAGATGTATATGATATGATGAATATTTGTGATTATCGAGGCATCTGCATAGGAACCCATCTGCTAACAGAGGTCAAACATCTTGGTCTTGCTGACAGAGGTGAGCCAATTCAACTCAGTATAAAAACAGGATACTACAAACATCAATTAGTTAAATTTTGCTGAATTGGTAGTTATTAAACAAATAAAGCTGTATTGCAGTACTCCGAAAGAAATCATCATTATTCTGTACCTACCACTTTTAACAATTTTGTGCTGTTGATAATCATGATATTTTCGAGTATCGTTATCTATTTGTACACCTTTATTATTATTCCATTTTATTGCCTTAGTGTTATTGTCTCTTACTCCTACGCATCTTATTTTCTTAGCAACCGTAAATCCTCTGACCTGTCTTATATCCTTTCATGTAACGTTTCTAAGTATGCAGAATACATTCGCCTCTCTCACTATTATCTAGATACTGTTCTAGAATATTCGTCTAATTCTTTTTGTATAGTGATAAACTTACTATTAATTTTTGTACATTTATTCACTCCCTTCCTGACTTCAACTACATCGGATCTTCGAAAATGTTTCACATCTTAACTACTCTCTAAAGTTTGATAGTATAGTCCTGTCTGTTCACGAATACGATACCTGCAAGTGTATTATACTAGTAGGCGATAAAGTATTTATCCACTTTTATGCTTTTCATTTTAACAGTTGCTGGGATGATAGATTGCAAGTATGTGAATAAGGAAATTAAACCAAGAAGACAGGTGAAGGACCATGCTGAGATTTCATTTGTTGTTTGAAGACAAGGGGAGCCTAATATCAAGGGAAAAAAATAGATGCCTTTTGCCGGTTTTTTGTTTTAATGTAGATGAAAGTGTTAAACTTTTTCGACCATACCAGGTTGTGTTTTGACCCGCATATCTACGAATTCTTTTCTTTGGTTTCAGCTCCTCACACGAAAGATGTTTGAAATATATACTGATGTCAGCAAAGATTCTCCTGATATCCTATTCTCTTTTTCCTAAGAAATATTAATACATTGATGAAATTTACCGTAAGTATTTGTATTTCATCTCACTCAAGTAAACATCGCCGATAGAAAAGATGTCAAGACAAAAAGACAAACAGTAACTATTCAGTTCATTTCAAACGTTATCATAATGTAAAAACTCACTTTTGTTGAATAGGTTTCCTCAAATTGAATGTTGAAAATGTGATTTTAACCAATTCTGTAGGTTGACCTTGAAAACGATATATTAAGCAATCCAAATCATAATAATACTTCTTTGGATAACTTGGAGTTTTGAATGTACCAGATTTATGCATTGTACTATCAAATATATAACAACGACAGTCTAAAATATTAAAGAGATATTATATTTGATTCGTTTCGAATGAAACTGGTGCACATAGATTTTGTATTGTGATTTTTATAATAAAGGCAAAGATAGGAGCTGAAGAAACTACCCATAAACGCAAATACTTGGGTGGTAGCAAACGGTTTTATATTTGTCCACACTCTGATAGCTGAAGTTACATGTTGAAAGCAAGCTAATGCTTCATTGAAAGATGCGGAGCAATAAAATGAGTCAAGTCAAGTATATAAGATATTATGAAGGTAAATATTGCAACATATTCACATTTCTAAAGTTCTTTATTACCTACCCATAACATCTAACATGGTTTACAGTAATACTCTATAGTACTAGTCTGTCACACCATGGCTGCCTCAGTAAGTTTCATTCGGTCATCACTATGATACTCCTCCCTCTCAAATTCAGCTGTATTTAGAATGTAACAAAAAGATTTGTCTGAACAGCCACTGAGATTCCTGGGAACCTCACCATGGATTTACATAGCAACATCAACAGCATAAACTTTCTGATGTTTTTCCTGATGATTTTTTCTAGAGTGGTAACGAAAGTTCCACGATTAAACAGTTCAACTCAAGGAACTCAATTCCATCAAACTCCATGATGTTACCAACCGAAAACTTGAGATTACGGCTCATTGAATACATCAATCAGATTTTGCAATCAGACTTGGAAAAGAAAAGTATGTACTTGACTAAAACGTGAGGAAGTTAAATTCCATAATTCATATTTTCTACAATTTCGGAGAGGTACATTAATAGACATTCCATGGTAAGTTACAACTTGAAGTGCTGTCTCTGGAATACAGATTCTGTGAAAATCGTAAATAAGTTAATTCATAGATATAGGTGTACTGTCTGAGCACATTTTTGGACAAAAGTTTGATTTAATTGTCCCATGCAGCACAGAGCTAGAACAATGTTAATGTTAGCATAGGAACAACAAGAATACGTAAGAAGATATGAAGGTATAGTATAGCTAAGAATGAACAAGCAAACTGTTATCGCTGAAAGTGGGGCGTAATTATGTGAGAAAACTGAACTCCATATTGCAAGACAAAATAAAGTTTTGGAAGTTAGAATCACTGAACGACATAGCTGAAAAAAGTAGAAAAGATATAATCTCTTCAGTAAAGAAATTTTCTCAAAAGCTCACATCTGCAAGCTGTATGATTTCCCGAACGTATGGCCCACCAAAAATGCATCGATTAAAACGCCTATCCTCTATATGATAGCGATGTCACATTCACCTATACTATGAGATAGCAAAGTGGCTAGTAAAACTGCTACAGCCTTTACGGGATGAACTAGTTATGTGTAGCATTAAGTATGTCTTCTATTAGTAGCATACATTTCACCTAAAATGTATGAGATCTCTTGGTGTAGGCTATTTGTTTACTAACGTTTTTCTTGTTGAATTGGAATTGGTGTGGCCCATAAAACAACAAATTCCGTCAAAACACTAATATGCAGACCAAAGGATGCAACAAGCAAAGAAGATAAGCCGAATATCATTTACAAAATCAACTGCAATAACTACAGTCAACGCTACATTGGACAAAGTGGTCACCCTCTTCGCCTTCGTCTACATGAACACCAATTGACTATTAAACGTCACACACGACATTTCATCACCCATTTCAATACACGTGGAAAATTGTGGACATGAATTGAGTTTCGACAATGTAGAAATGTTGGAGGTAGAGAGGAAACACAAAGAATATCATAAGAGAATTCCTAGAAGCTTGTCATTCGTTTCAGTCAGCAATCAATCAGTATCAACCAATGAGGAAAATGGTGAACGACAGAAAGGTGAGAGGTCATGCAGAGGGACAGCCAACAGGAAAGTCTATAAAACCAATGACACAACAATCGGAGGAAACGACCAATCATAGACCACATCGTCAAGGCAAGCTACTGAATGACTCATTCAGGGAGAGATATTGACAGCTCACTTCATCCTGAAGTTAGTGTTGATGATGTTGTTGTCTAGCAAGACGATGAAAGTTTCACGATTAAAGAATCCAGCTCAGAGTACACAATACAACCAAGACCATCGAACTAAGCTACAAATATTTTTCATGATTTGTTGAAACTATGAACTGTCTCCATCAATAATTGGTAGAGCGGAATATGAAGATTTTTCTGGTCGAGTATAATGAATGTTCACGTTAGATTCAGAAGTATAATTTGCTGATTCAAAATGGAATTTCATCACAAAGTTTATCTAGAGCAAAGTTTACTCATGTTTTGATGGCATGGCGATGGGATTTTCACTACGACTGATATCTCTTGACATTTATATTTGACGAAATTGAAAAGCAAACTATTGAAAAATGATATTGCCAATACTGATTTTTAACATCAACCCATAGAAAACTTACACTGTAAAAAGTCTTTAAAAGTAGATAACACTCAATAATTTGAAACATGAATCTACAAGACTGCTGAAGAAACCTTAAGAGAAGATACACTAAATGAAATTTTATCACAAAGTTTATCTAGAGTAATGAATAGAACATTCTACTCAGGTCATCTGGACTTATCATTTAGTAGCTAACTGTTGTTCAACCTGGGGTTTAAGGATACCCTGAATAATTTGCGCTCATCGTTATGCCCATTACAATCCAACCAATTTATCATAATTAACATTCAGGCAATATGGAGGTATCCGCAAAGGGAGCCTATATGCCAGTAGAGGTCGAACAATTCGATCCAACAAAACAACTCAGAATAACAAGTATGTCAATAAATAGTAATAACTACTATCCGTTGTACAAAAAGTGGCTATCGTTCATCCGTGGCATAGTGGATAACGCTTTGGCGTTTGGAGCGATGGTTACGAGGTTCGTGTCCCAGTGGGAACAACATCACTGGGGTGCAGATACATCCGGCTGACGAGTCCCAAACAGGACGAAACGTGCGTCCTGGATTCTTCTGTTAGCCAAAACCAACCAATTTATCACAATTCAACTGTTTCTTCAGAACAAGTTCAACAGTACGTATTTTTAGATACATCCGTCTCAGAATACAATAATGTCTATGGGCTTGGTTTGAGAAGTCTGAGGTTAAATTTATTAGAAGTTGTAAACTAGAACATAGTACGGTAAAAACTTGCCAGCATAAAACATAAATTCGTATCAGTTCCCTTTTTCTTTTATTCTGCATAATCTTTTTGATGCTCAGAATGTCTACATCAACGGCTATACAGAATACCCGAGCAAACGAGTTGTCAAGCATACGTAGTTCAGTAGCAACGTCTCTTAGCGCTGAATAATGTGATTTTGAATCCCATAGCAGATATAACATCCTTTGAAGTAGTAGATACATCGTTTTGATGAGTACCAACAGTTATGAAACCTAAGTCCAGAGCTTCCTGTCAATAACCCCAACCACCCGATACAATAAAGTTGTCAAACTACACAGCTTATCCCAGTCTGAACAGCAACATTTCATTGTCTTGGAAATGGAACAGAAAGACTAGGTACATCAGAGTCTTTTCTGTAATTATATCTAATTTTAGACACATCTCCAAGAAATAACATGTAACTAGTAACCGAGCAAACTAATGAGCTATGAAATATTTCCTTTTTCTGCAAAAGATCACCGAATTCGACTTGTCTGAACACTCTTGTTACTTAGTCGTCATTTTCTGCCAAAATACAGATAGATAACTATAAACACTTTTCAAATCTGAGAAGTTTCTCTTCTGATACAAATTTAAATCAGTAAACAGAAGTATAGAAGACGGGATATAATGAATTAGTAAGTTGTGATAAAACTCCTAAGCTGAACACTCTACATACTTCACTATGTATGCCGAGGTGGAATACATGAAATGATACATACATTTATTGAAAACTAAGGCAACAAATAAAGCTTACAAAGCAGGACTTTTGTGTCTCAGTTCCGTAGTGGACAATGCACTGACATATAAAGTGACTGGCTCCGGGTTCGAGCCCTATGGGGAACAAAATCACTCATTGAGAGGGAGGTATATACTGCTGATAAGGCTTACACAGGATAAAACGTGTGTTCTTGATTCCGCTAGTACAAACAAATCAACAATAAAATCAAAGATTATAAGACAGTAAAATGCTAAAGGGTGTTGTGAAGGGACGTGAAAGTTGATCGAAAATCATAAAATAAATGACTTGATGAGATTAAAGAGTAGCCATACTTTGCTTCTGCATCCATTGTTTACTTTATGGATTCAAACTGCATGATAAAAAGGAGAAACTTAGGCACTGAGATGAAATTTATTCCCATTTTAGTCTGTTAATTATTTACTGCGTAAAGTTCAGAACCTAATTTATTGTCTATCTTTATGTCACCTGATATAATATTCACTTTAAGAAAGATTCAATAAACGCATACTGAAATGGAATAACAGAATTCCACGAGTTTATGTGATTGAAAACAGTTTTTCATTCCACTGTCTACTGACCATCGTAAGTGTTTCAATAGAGCTAATAACACGCCCGACGTCTAGTAGGTGTTCGGTCATGGAGCATTTTGAAAGCAGAATTCTGAATCGACATTCTGCCATACAGTTAGACATTCGCATCCGATACTACCTATGTATTTGCCTCCGCAAACATATTCGAATTGATAGGTTTCCTTGATAAGTTTCAAGGATGGCCGTTTAATTTTTCACGGACTATTGTAGTAACCACCTCGTGACTCTTAGAAACATTAGTTTCGCAGTGCAGTAAGTTCTTCTTATGGCTAAATGAGCTTCTTTCTGGTTACACCATATTCAGCATCTCCTTTAAATGGTAGAGTGATTTACATTATAAAGTCCTTTTCTTTCCTGTATTTCTGGCATAGATGTTTATGAATTATCCAAGATATTCACTTTAAGATAATACTTCTTTCAGAGTGTTTAGTTCATATACCATGGTGCTGTCAGAACGAGTTCCACCTGGGTGTTGATGGCATATATTTTAATATGAGTAAAACTAGTGCACTATGGTTGAATAT